ACATTAGTCCTGCTGGAGTGTGTGATCTAAAGAGACTCAATAATGAGTGAGAGCTGACTGTTAATCAAAAGAGAACCATTTGAATTTCCACTACTCCGCTTATGCATCTCACATGATAGCTTTTCATGCAGTAGTAGTTGTAAGGAGAATGTATGTTGTGAGACGCACTCACTCACTCACTCACTCACTCACAGGACAGTAAGGAGTCTATTCATCAGCATATATCAAGAAAAGAGAGCCATCCTCATCAGTGAGTTAGAGAGAGAGAGAGGGGAGAGAAATGATTGACCAATAATAACCTCGGCCCCAGGTGGAGCCAGTGGACATCAAGTCATTTTTCCCCAGGTGGAGCCAATGCCAGTTTCACAAGAATCCAGCAGTTTGTCAGTGGTTCAAAACACCCAGACTCTTTGCACAGTGTGCAATGCAATCACACTGACTTTTGTATAGATTTGGCAAGGACTATAATGTATTACTTCATTCAAGTGTCAAGCCGGGGCATGGAAACCTGCAAATATGATTACATCAAACTATGAATGCCTTGAAAGGTCACATATGCAAACAGTTGTACATTTCTCATATTAGAACACCTGTCTACTAACGCTATGTATATTATATCTAGTACTTTCTAGTACTGTCTATTTCTATGTGCCTGAAGCTGGGTACTGGGTTTCTGCTCAAGTCCATACAACAGTGATATCTTATTCAGACAAGCTGGTTTATCACATACCAGACCTGGGTTGAAATCCTTTCAAATCCTCTATCTGGGCTTGATTGAGCTAGCCTGGAACCAATAGAATATGAAACCGTCACAAAAGACCACACCCTGTTCATCAGGCTAAAGCAAACGCTGAAAGTGTTTTGGAATATTTTGAAAAGTATTTGAACCCAAGTCTGGTATGTGATAAATCAACCTGTCTGAAATAAGATCTCACCATTGTATAGACTTGATGAGAACCCCAGTCCAATACCCAGCTTCGGCATGTAGAAATAGACAGTACTACAGATAGATATGTATAGCCAACAGGTGTTCTAATATCAAACTTTTTTCTGTGTGTTACTCTTCAATGTACTCATAGCTTCATCACTTCATACAGCAGGTTATTAAAGTATCATGCTCTGTTACATAAAGGAGAATGGAACCTGTTGGACCAGTTCTGTTGGAAGAGGAGAAGAAACACCCTCCTTGAGATGACAGATGATGAAATACTCTAGAAGTAGTTCTGCCCTCAGGAGGGCATCGTAGCCAAGCCAAGCACTGTGCAATGATGACCTAGGAGAGTGGTGGTATTTATGTGCCATCAGAATTGTGTTTTACTGGTTGATGGCACTTCACCAACTCCTCTATCCATGATAGCAGGCTCCCACGAGAGAGGAGTGAGTCACAAACTAGACTTCCACTTCCAATGACAAGAATAATGGATGGTGTTGAGTCCAATCATGTTTCATCATGTCTTCTCTTCAATAGAGAGTTGATGCGTTTGTGTGTGTGTGTGTGTGTGTGTGTGAAGTATTGTATGAAAAGCAAAGATGATTTATAGTAGCTTATTTGCATGTGCAGTATGATCAGATGGGTTTGTTCTAGTTGAATGCAGCAGAAGGAACGTTGGGTGTTCTGGAAGATCTCCTCTCTGCATGGTGTTCTGAACAGAGCTCAGTGGTTAGTGGGATGGTCTGGAAGATCTCTCTGCATGGTGTTCTGAACAGAGCTCAGTGGTTAGTGGGATGGTCTGGAAGATCTCCTCTCTGCATGGTGTTCTGAACAGAGCTCAGTGGTTAGTGTGATGGTCTGGAAGATCTCCTCTCTGCATGGTGTTCTGAACAGAGCTCAGTGGTTGGTGTGATGGTCTGGAAGATCTCCTCTCTGCATGGTGTTCTGAACAGAGCTCAGTGGTTAGTGTGATGGTCTGGAAGATCTCCTCTCTGCATGGTGTTCTGAACAGAGCTCAGTGGTTAGTGTGATGGTCTGGAAGATCTCCTCTCTGCATGGTGTTCTGAACAGAGCTCAGTGGTTGGTGTGATGGTCTGGAAGATCTCCTCTCTGCATGGTGTTCTGAACAGAGCTCAGTGGTTAGTGTGATGGTCTGGAAGATCTCCTCTCTGCATGGTGTTCTGAACAAAGCTCAGTGGTTAGTGTGATTGTCTGGAAGATCAGCAGGTGTTCCATTTTTAAACTCACAGGTAAACAGACTGGAGACACGTACTGAAATAGGAAACAGTACTAATATTAGCCAGGGTATCAGTCTGTCTCTGCTTTAGCAATCTTGTTGTTGTTGTTTGGCATGGAAAATATGGTAGTATTGATGAGTGAAAAATAGTAATGTACTTAGTGCCCAAGCTATATACTGTAGTCTCTTGTTGCCTCCACTGCAGTACTTTTAGGTTATATGAAATATTGCAGAGGCAATGTGTTTTAGTTCATTAATTAGTCTTTGAGTGTGAACAAAGATGTGTTTTAATGTAAATGTTTTCCACAGCACTATGCAAACAGTATGTCAGAGAGAGACAATGGTGGTCCTGGTCTGGTCTGACGATGTGCCTGATAACAAGGCCTCTACTGTCGGCAACATTTCTCTTACCATGAGGTAGATCTCAATAGTCTCTAACGTGACTTCCTCTCCTCTCCTTCCCTTCATCTGTACTGATCTGACTCGGTGAGATCAGATCACAGAAAGGAAGAAATGTGGTGGATTCCTTTGTGGAATACTCATGCGCCTGTCGAGTGCTCTCACAGTGTAGACAAAGGAGAGAAGATGAGGAGAGGAAGTCACTATAGACTATTGAGATGAGGAGAGGACGCTACTAGACTATTGAGATGCAGCCCATGTTATCTGAACCATGGGCGATATGAAGCAGGGAGCTTTCAGGTTCATTCAGGGTTAGCAGACACGGCAGGCAGACGGTGAAGTGAAAAGACTACAGTAACTGCAGTCTTTTCCTTTTAAAGGGATAGTTCATCCAACTGTTTACCCAACTGTGAACTATCCCTTTAACCTAATGGTGGTCTTACTATACTACACACAGATGGTCTGTAGATGTAACTAGCTGGTGTCTGTTCCCCTCAGATGGTCTGTAGATGTAACTAGCTGGTGTCTGTTCCCCTCAGATGGTCTGTAGATGTAACTAGCTGGTGTCTGTTCCCCTCAGATGGTCTGTATATGTAACTAGCTGGTGTCTGTTCCCCTCAGATGGTCTGTAGATGTAACTAGCTGGTGTCTGTTCCCCTCAGATGGTCTGTAGATGTAACTAGCTGGTGTCTGTTTCCCCTCAGATGGTCTGTAGATGTAACTAGCTGGTGTCTGTTCCCCTCAGATGGTCTGTAGATGTAACTAGCTGGTGTCTGTTCTCCTCAGATGGTCTGTAGATGTAACTAGCTGGTGTCTTCCCATCATCCCTAGCAAACACAGCTGATTCAACTAATTGTGTTCTAAACTGAAGATCATGATTAGTTTATTATTGGAGTCAGGTGTGTTAGCTGGGGCTGGGGGAGAAAGTGTGACACCGATCAGGCCCCCGAGGACTGGAGTTGCCCATCCCTGGGCTAGAAGACGGTTTTGAAGAATGTTTTACTTGCAATGATTTGACCTACTTTGGTTGAATGCACTGACTGTAAGTTGCTCTGCATAAGCTAAATTACAAAAATGTAACTGTCACCTCCTCATTCCAGGGCGCCCTCCTCTGAGCTATCTGCTCTGATTGAGAAGCTGCAGAAGAATGCTGACAAGGTGGAGAAGCTCATCTATGAGACGGAGCAGAACCTCAACAAGGTACAGAACCGCAAAGAACCGCATCACACAGAACCTCATAGAACCGCTTAGAACATCATAAAACCACACAGAACATGGATAGAATCTCAAAGATCATCATATAACATTGTAGAACCTCATTGAACCACATAGAACCTCAGAACTACATAGAACCTCATGCAACATCATAGAATGTCACAGAACCTTCTGATAGGGTCATACCTTTATAATGCAACAACAACATCATATTGATGAGTCTGGCAGACTGTTTGCGTCCTCCTAATTGGCTCTGTCTGGCTCTCGATGTCTTTGACAACATCATATGATAACGTTTGACTGCTCTGTGTTGTATCAGGATGTGAGTAAGATCAACGAGGGCAAGCAGCCTCTGTACCAGGACGACACCAACAAGCGCATCCTGAACTCTCTGGAGCTGCTGCAAGGCCTGGATGAGGATGCTGTCGACGCAAAACGCCTGCAGCACCCCCAGGCTGAGATGATCGAGCAGGAGTGAGTTATATTATATAGCAGATATACACTATACTAGATATACCTACTGTACCTGCAGCACCGCCAGTCTGAGATGATCGAGCAGGAGTGAGTTATATTGTAGATATACACTACACCAGATATACCTACTGTACCTGCAGCACCGCCAGGCTGAGATGATAGAGCAGGAGTTATATTATATAGTAGATATACACTATACTAGATATACCTACTGTACCTGCAGCACCGCCAGGCTGAGATGATCGAACAGGAGTGAGTTATATTATATAGCAGATATACACTATACTAGATATACCTACTGTACCTGCAGCACCCCCAGGCTGAGATGATCGAACAGGAGTGAGTTATATTATATAGCAGATATACACTATACTAGATATACCTACTGTACCTGCAGCACCGCCAGGCTGAGATGATCGAACAGGAGTGAGTTATATTATATAGCAGATATACACTATACTAGATATACCTACTGTACCTGCAGCACCGCCAGGCTGAGATGATCGAACAGGAGTGAGTTATATTATATAGCAGATATACACTATACTAGATATACCTACTGTACCTGCAGCACCGCCAGGCTGAGATGATAGAGCAGGAGTTATAGTAGATATATACCTACTGTACCTGCAGCACCGCCAGGCTGAGATGATAGAGCAGGAGTTATATTATATAGTAGATATGTACCTGCAGCACCGCCAGGCTGAGATGATAGAGCAGGAGTTATATTATATAGTAGATATGTACCTGCAGCACCGCCAGGCTGAGATGATAGAGCAGGAGTTATATTATATAGTAGATATGTACCTGCAGCACCGCCAGGCTGAGATGATAGAGCAGGAGTTATATTATATAGTAGATATGTACCTGCAGCACCGCCAGGCTGAGATGATAGAGCAGGAGTTATATTATATAGTAGATATGTACCTGCAGCACCGCCAGGCTGAGATGATAGAGCAGGAGTTATATTATATAGTAGATATGTACCTGCAGCACCGCCAGGCTGAGATGATAGAGCAGGAGTAAGTCTTAATAAGCTAATACACTAGATATTGTACCCTCTTCAACTCAACCCTGATCTCCACTCACTCACTCACTCCACTGTTGAGTTCTAACTAACCCTGTGTTCTAACCCTGTGTTCTAACCCTGTGTTCTAACCCTGTGTTCTAACCCTGTGTTCTCTCCTCCAGTATGAAGCAGCTGAGAGAGAGACTGAGTAAGCTGAGAGAGGACCATGACCGCATCTACCACCTGACCCGCTCTGAGGGCCTGCCGAGCGTCAACTGGGGCAAGATCATAGACGAGAAACAGGTGAGGGGAACACGTACACACACGGGCTTGGATATGTGTACACACAGTTCACACACACTTTTACGCAGACAATAACACAAACTTAATATCTTTCTTCCGACCAGGTCAACCTGAAGAACAAAGGTTTTGGTCAGGACCTGCCGACCATAGAGAATGAGGTGGAGGAACACAACATCTTTCACAGTGAGGTGGAGGCCCTGGCCCCTCACATCTCAGCCAGCGACAACAAGGTAGGACTAACAACCAGCTTAGAAACTAACTGATACATTGGATTTATATTCACTCATTTAGTAGTCTATTATCCAGTAAGATAATCATTGCTTTATTTGTAGTACACATATCTGACAACGACGACAACAACCGCTCAAAAAGTTACATTCATGATTTTAAAAAACAGGCATAAATTGTACTAAATTATTGTCAACAATGACCCATTCCTCACAAAGCAAACCTTCATGCATCACATTAAAATGTCGTTATTTAGTCGAGTCTCTTATCCAGAGGGACTTTCAATAACGTAGTTAAAATAACCAGGCGTCTCAGACAGCGACAACAAGGTAGGACTAACAGCCACTCAGGTCAACTCTGGCCCACTTCAGTTAGAAACTGTTGCATTTGAAAAAAACTAAGACTGTTTTTACGTTTGAGGTTTCGCTAAAATACCCGCGTATATACATACAGTGTTACAGAAGTGTAAAGACACAAATCTAGAATAATTTCTGACTTCTCCACACCATTTCCAGTCATTCAATGCGCATAATGTCGCATAGACATGACGTATGTTAGTGAGGATTTTTGTTTCCCCAGTCAAGCTCAGTTTCATTTAATATGCCTGAAAGGAGGGAGTGCACACGGAAAGTTCCATGCAGTAATATTCTCTCTCTAGTTCTCTCAATTTAAGGGGCTTTATTGGCATGGGAAACATATGTTAACATTGTCAAAGCAAGTGAAACAGATAATAAACAAAAGTGAAATAAACAATTTAAAAAATAACAGTAAACATTACACTCTCTCTCTCTCTCTCTCTCTCTCTCTCTCTCTCTCTCTCTCTCTCTCTCTGTCTGTCTGTCTGTCTGTCTGTCTGTCTCTCTCTCTCTCTGTCTCTCTGTCTCTCTCTGTCTCTCTGTCTCTCTCTGTCTCTCTCTGTCTCTCTCTGTCTCTCTCTGTCTCTCTCTGTCTCTCTGTCTCTCTGTCTCTCTCTGTCTCTCTCTGTCTCTCTCTGTCTCTGTCTCTCTCTCTCTCTCTCTCTCTCTCTCTGTCTCTCTCTGTCTCTCTCTGTTTCTCTCTGTCTCTGTCTCTCTCTCTCTCTCTCTCTCTCTAGGACAATGCCAGTGGCCTCCAGCTGAATTACAACAAGCTCCTGGTAAGATTGACTTTATCTGAAGCATGGACTCAGGGAGAGCTTGAGGAGTGTATATGCATGTACAGTACTTCTATGTGCGTTCAGTATGTCTACAACAGTGTCTGTGTGTACAAAGTGTTGATGTTTTATCCACCTACACCCTGGCTCCCCCCCCCTCCTTCCCTTCCTTTGGCCAGAGTGTGTGTGGTCAGTAGTGATGAATGTGTGTTTCATTCACCATCACCCTTTCCCCCTCTGCTTCCCCTAACCCAGAATATTCTCTCTCTAGTAACTATCTATCCTGTCCCTCCCCAGGCCAGTTCCAGTGTGTAGGTCTCTATAGTAACTATCTATCCTGTCCCTCCCCAGGCCAGTTCCAGTGTGTAGGTCTCTATAGTAACTATCTATCCTGTCCCTCCCCAGGCCAGTTCCAGTGCTCGACAGCGCCACCTGCTGAGCCTGCGTGACTACATGCAGCGCTGCACCAATGAGCTGTACTGGATGGACCAGCAGGCAGGGGAGAGGATCAACTATGACTGGAGCGACACCAACCTGGACTTCCCTGCTCGTCAGAGACAGTATGAGGTAGAGAGGGACACACAAACACACACACTGTCCTTCACCTGCACTGACAGAGTAATACATTCAGGGTGTTATTTGACACCTGATCCTACATGTTATTTGACACCTGATCCTACATGTTATTTGACACCTGATCCTACATGTTATTTGACACCTGATCCTACATGTTATTTGACACCTGATCCTACATGTTATGTGACACCTGATCCTACATGTTATGTGACACCTGATCCTACATGTTCTTTGACACCTGATCCTACATGTTACATGTGTTGGAACGTAAAGAGGGACTTGTATCTCTTTAAATCTCCCACCAGAACTTCATAAGTAAGTGTCTCGAGTCCAAGGAGGCCACTGTCACGCAGCTGAATGATGATGGAGATAAACTAATCTCTACCAACCATCCTGGCAAGAATGTCATTGAGGTACACACACACACACACACACATCTCTACTTACCATCCTGGGATGAATGTTATGGAGATACACTTCACTTATCCCCTGTCATTCTACTATTGGGGAAAATCCTAACTTCCACTTTAGTCTTTTGTTTGCCTAAGTCATGCATTGATGTCAATGGGAGACTAAGGTAAAACTAGACATTTTTGTTGAAGTTAGGATTCGACCCTACTGAGATTAAAATCAGCAAAATGAATATGGATTAAACAGCAAACAGACTAATGTAACAGACCTCTACTCTACCTCTCAGGCTCACATGGAGGCAGTGCATGCTGACTGGAAGGAGTACCTGAACCTGCTCATCTGTGAAGAGAACCACCTGAAACACATGGACGAGTACCACAAGGTGATTAGCATACTGTAACACAACCCAACCTAACCCTAACTTTAACCCTCATACCACCTGAAACACATGGACGAGTACCACAAGGTGATTAGCATACTGTAACACTATAACACAACCCAACCTAACCCTAACTTTAACCCTCATACCACCTAAAGCACATGGACGAGTACCAAAAGGTGATTAGCATACTGTAACACTATAACACAACCCAACCTAACCCTAACGTTAACCCTAATACCACCTGAAACACATGGATGAGTACCACAAGGTGATTAGCATACTGTAACACAACCCAACCTAACCCTAACTTTAACCCTCATACCACCTGAAACACATGGACGAGTACCACAAGGTATTAGCATACTGTAACCCAACCCAACCCAACATAACCTTAACCCTCATACCACCTGAAACACATGGACGAGTACCACAAGGTGATTAGCATACTGTAACACAACCCAACCTAACCCTAACTTTAACCCTCATACCACCTGAAACACATGGACCACTACCACAAGGTGATTAGCATACTGTAACACTATAACACAACCCAACCTAACCCTAACTTTAACCCTCATACCACCTGAAACACATGGACCACTACCACAAGGTGATTAGCATACTGTAACACTATAACACAACCCAAACTAACCCTAACTTTAACCCTCATACCACCTGAAACACATGGACGAGTACCACAAGGTGATTAGCATACTGTAACCCTATAACCCAACCTAACCCTAACTTTAACCCTCATACCACCTGAAACACATGGACCACTACCACCAGGTGATTCAGAGCAACAAGTATTCAGAAAGCATCAGTTTAAGAAATCCTGAATGTTTGAACAGGGTCATTGGATTTTGATAGGCCTGTGTACAAAGCAACAGCTTGCGAGTTACAGACTTGGCATGTCATGGCATGTGAACAAAGTTGGTTAAGGCAGAGACCGACTGCCAGCCAGTTTACCTTAGTGTAAATCAACTCTGAGCAGCTTTCAGTCATTTGTTACATCAGTGTTTTTCCTGACTGCGTCTATTTTCTCTCCAGTTCCACAAAGAGGCCAGGGACACCCAGGATCTTCTGAAGAGACTGGAAACAGAGGTCAACCAGAAGTACAAACCAGAGTTCAAGGACATGTACCAGATGGAGAGCCTCATCAGAGACCTGGACGTGAGTGGACTTTATAACTACAATGTTTTGCTATGAGTAGGCTTTCTAACTACTTTAGTTTACTGAGAATGGGCTTTACACTACTGTAGTTTACTAAGAGTGGGCTTTACACTACTGTAGTTTACTAAGAGTGGGCTTTACATTACTGTAGTTTACTGAGAGTGGGCTTTACACTATTGTAGTTTACTGAGAGTGGGCTTTACACTACTTTAGTTTACTGAGAGTGGGCTTTACACTACTGTAGTTTACTGAGAGTTGGCTTTACACTACTGTAGTTTACTAAGAGTGGCCTTTACACTACTGTAGTTTACTGAGAGTGGGCTTTACACTACTGTAGTTTACTAAGAGTGGGCTTTACACTACTGTAGTTTACTGAGAGTGGGCTTTACACTACTGTAGTTTACTAAGAGTGGGCTTTACTGGAGTTTACTAAGAGTGGGCTTTACACTACTGTAGTGTACTAAGAGTGGGCTTTACTGTAGTGTACTAAGAGTGGGCTTTACACTACTGTAGTTTACTAAGAGTGGGCTTTACTGTAGTGTACTAAGAGTGGGCTTTACACTACTGTAGTTTACTAAGAGTGGGCTTTACTGTAGTGTACTAAGAGTGGGCTTTACACTACTGTAGTTTACTAAGAGTGGGCTTTACACTACTGTAGTTTACTAAGAGTAGGCTTTACACTACTGTAGTTTACTAAGAGTGGGCTTTACGCTACTGTAGTTTACTACATGTATGGGGGACAGATCTGTTTCTGCTTCAGCCAAACAACGACAAAGCAGTTGGATAAAGCAGAGACAATTATTTCTGGCGTACAGGTCTGTCTGCTTACCAGGCTAGTTTACAATCTCAATCAAGAAAATCTTGATTTTTACAAATGTATTAGCCTTAGTCTTAGAACTATAAATCCAAAATGCTCTTGAAAAAACCCTAACTGTGTTTGTGTGTGTTTGTGTGTGTTTGTGTGTGTTTGTGTGTGTGTGTGTGCAGGACCAGGCGAAGGCCATGGACCACTTTGATGAGCGTGTGATGGCTCTGGAGAAGCGCAGCCTACAGGTTCTCCCTCTCCAGTTCCGTAGGAACACCCCTCAGAAGCTGCTCCCCGTCGAGGCGCTGTGTGAGTTCGACACTGACGAGGTAAACCTGGATATACCACCACCCTACTCTAGATTCAGACTGATACCTTGCCAACTATCCTCCTCCACACACACGCTTCTTTGTGTCAATCATTCTACGATTTTGTCTCTTTCCCCTCTCTCCTTCTTCCCTTCTCTCCTTCCTCTCCATCTCCTCCACTCCCTCCCTTTCTCACTCTCCTTTTCTGTCTCCAGTCATTCTCTAATCCCTATGTGTGGTGTGTTTTTCTGTTATCATGACTAAGGCTGTCTGACTGCACCACATCTTTTCTCTCCTCTTTTCCTCCTTCACTCTCGCTCCTTTAATTCCAGTCCCCTAAATGTGGTTTTGTGTATTTAAATCCTCTAAGAGGCCAGGCCTGTGCTCTGCATCTTATTTAAGCCTTCAGGGGATCAGCCGCAGGCTGAGGGGGTTTTAGGAGTGGATTTTGTGAGCTGGAGAGCGAGGTGTGTGTGGTGTGTGTGGTGTGTGTGGTGTGTGTGGTGTGTGTGGTGTGTGTGTGTGTGTGTGTGCCGCAGTCGAGAGAGCTCTTAAGATTTAGGAACCGGATCAGACAGTGAGGGGAAACGTGGTGTTGTGTTTAGATTTGTTTTTGTGACCTGACCGGTAAAAACTGTGAACTCTAGTTTACTAACTAGGGCTTAGTGTTTCCCTGGTCAGGAAAAGCTAAGGGCCTTATCCAAAGTGGTTCAGTGAGTGAAACACTGTTGTGTTCTAGTTGTCCCATGCTGATTTAGTGAGTCAACCTCTATGCTGTGTTCTGGTTCTTCCATACCAGATCAGTCAGTGAAACTCTGTGTAATGTTGTGGTTGTCCATCCCAGGGTCAGACCAGTGATTTAAACTCTGTGTAATGTTGTGGTTGTCCATCCCAGGGTCAGATCAGTGCTTTAAACTCTGTGTAATGTTGTGGTTGTCCATCCCAGGGTCAGATCCTGCGTGGAGAGAGGTACACCCTCCTGAGTAACAAGGGGCCCAAGTGGGAGGTGAAGGACGCGGCCGGGCGTAAACTGACCGCTCCAGGGGCCTGCTTCATGATCCCCCCCACAGACCCAGAGTCTGTCTCCATCTCCAACAAGTGAGTGTGTGTGTGTTATGGGGGCCGGGTGGAGAGGGGTGTGTGTATGAGTGTGGTGTGTGTGTGACGGGGTGGGGGGGTGCAAGTGTCTACCTGCTATGTGCCTGAGATTGTGTTGTTTCCCAAGACAGTATACTTGTACACTGTGTAACAGTGTCTTGTGTTTCCAGTCTGGCCACCCAGCAGAAGGGTATTAAGATGAAGGTGTCTGGCAGTAAGACCACCCTGGTCAAACGCCTGGAGGAACTGAAGAAAGACGGCACCGCTGGCTCTGGTAGGTACTGTTATGTCATGGTATGTCATGGTATGTCATGGTATGTTATGTCATGTCATGGCATGGTATGTCATGGTATGTTATGTCATGGTATGTTATGTCATGGTATGTCATGTCATGGTATGTCATGGTATGTCATGGTATGTCATGGTATGGTATGTCATGGTATGTCCCTGTCTCGACCTCTGAATGCTCGGCCACCTGACATTTTCTCCTGTTGCACCCTCTGTAACAGGGGTCTCCAGCCTTTTCTAGCATGAGCGCTACTTTTTTAAAATTGAAACGTTGCGAGCTACTGATTTTTCTTTTTATAGCTTTTAAATAGTCACATTCTTCTCTTCTCCTCGACCCTGCAACTCGTCCCCGGGTCCTTGGTGTACAAGAGATGTCAATATACCTGGTAAAATAATGGTTAATAAACTGTATTCAGCATGACAGCCCCATAAAATCATATTTTGTATTTTCCCGAATTCTGTTTTCTCTGTTTTTTATTTGTCCTGGTTTTGCCTCCGTTTTGTACAAATGTAGATTTTTGAGTGTATTTCCCCTTTAATTGTGCATCTAGCGAGAGAGGAATGTGTCAACCTAGCGATGCTTCTGTTAAGCCTACTGCAGCACATGTCATGGCAGAGTTTGTAAAACAATGGCCACCCAATTCATACAAATAATCATGATATAGTTCTGTCAGCTAAGCCTACTTTGCGGTTAATATTTAATTGAGAAGGTTTTTGGGGAAAGTCTTTCTGTCTACCCACAAGGTCATCATTAGCATCGCTAACTGGCTACATGGATTGTTAAACAAACACGCGCACCAGACAGACAGGGGGCAATATTGCTGGAAATGTATTGACAGATATTGTGTTACGTTTGGATTTTGAAGCCAGTAGTGGCTAACCAGGGGTGGGATAATGTCAATGCGGCTTTGATTGGATGGTAGCCTGGAGCTTTATGTTTATGACAGTTTGCGATGGAACCAATGAACAGTGGTGGAAAAAGTACCCAATTGTCATACTTGAGTAAAAGTAAAGATACGTTAATAGAAAATGACTCAAGTAAAAGTGAAAGTCACCAAGTAAAATACTACTTGAGTTTTAAATATACTTAAGTATCAAAAGTAAATGTAATTGATAAAATGCACTTAAGTATCAAAGTAAATGTAATTGATAAAATGCACTTAAGTATCAAAAGTAAAAGTATAAATCATTTCAAATTCCTTATATTAAGCAAACCAGACAGCACCATTTTCTTTCTTTATTTTTTTTACGGATAGCCAGAGGACACACTCCAACACTCAGACATAATTGACAAACAAAGTATTTGTGTTTAGTGAGTCCGCTAGATCAGAGGCTGTAGATGCCAGGGTTGTTCTCTTGATAAGTGCATGAATTGGACCATTTTCCTGTCCTGCTATGCATTCAAAATGTAACTAGTACTTTTGGGTGTCAGGGAAAATGTATGGAGTAAAAAGTACATTCTTTTCTTTAGGAATGTAGTGAAGTAAAAGTAAAAGTTGTCCAAAAAAATAAATAATTGTAAAGTACAGATACTAAAAAAAACTACTTAAGTAGTACTTGAAAGTATTTTTACTTAAGTACTTTTAGAATTACATTGCATGCTACTCATAGGTGGGATATGAGCTACTGCAGACCCTGAACTATAACCACTGTGATTATTATTTCACCCTGCTGGTCATCTATGAACGTCTCAACATCTTCAAGAACAATCTGGCCTTAATGGCCTTGTACTCTTATAATCTCCACCCAGCACAGCCAGAAGGGGACTGGCCACCCCTCAGAGCCTGGTTCCTCTCTAGGTTTCTTCCTAGGTTCCTACCTTTCTAGGGAGTTTTTCCTAGCCACCGTGCTTCTACATCTGCATTGCTTGCTGTTTGGGGTTTTAGACTGGGTTTCTGTATAGCACTTTGTGACATCTGCTGATGTAAAAAGGGCTTTATAAATAAATGTGATTGATTGGTTGGTATGTCTTGTTATTTCATGGTTTTAATCACTACAACTACAGCTTTAAAAAATAAAATAAAATGGAATGATTTTGTAGGCCATTGTGAATGTGATGTTATGTTGAGTGTCTGGTTCTATATGATTGTTGTGTGTGTGTGTGTGTAGTTGTATCTGATTTTGTGTATGTTATTTTGGTGTGTGTGTGTGTGATTGTATGTGATGTTGTGATTGTTGTGTCTGGTTGTATATGATTGTTGTGTGTGTTATTTTGGTGTGTGATTGATTGATTGATTGATTGTGATTTAATATTGTAGACAAGGATGAGCAGCAGTGTCGCCAGCTGATGGCCGGTCTGGACAAGGTGACCAGTGATCTGGACAAACAGGAGAAGGCCATCTACGCTCGAGTACGCCCCCCGCTGGAGCACACCAGGCCACTGCAGGACAGCGCTGACCGCCTGCAGGACATGAAGGTAGTTCAGCGTTTTTCTCTTTCTCTGCACAGAGGGTGTACAGAGGTAGAGATGCTTTTCTTACTCTCCTCTTCTCCTGTCTGCCTCTGGCACTATTTAGACTAGAATCCTTTCGATAAAGTTTTCAAAACCATTTAATCCTACCAAAGAAAGTTTGACAGGTTTAATGCAGGAAGTACTATTAGTAGTTCCAGGAAGTCTACACTGTGTTATACTTATCCCATTTTCTTCCACCAGGACATTGCGGCCGTGGTTCGTAAGATCGAGCCGGAGAAGTCGTCCAAGGTGAGGGAGGCTGAGAAGTTCCTGACCTCTAACCCTAAATGTGCCAGCGCCCCTCAGCTGAACGGCAAGGTGAACGAGGCCAACAATAAATATGACAAGATCAACCTGCTGCTCAAGTGCTCAGAGGACAAGTAAGTAGCTTTTTACTTGACTTGTAGTAGTTAGAGAAAAGGTCCTCCTTGTTACTTTATACTTTGTATAAGAGAGTTTTCCTGTTTTACTAAGATGACAAACCTGTAGGCTACTATTACACAATATTTAAACTCATTTAAGTGTCACATGAATCAAATAGAATGGAATCATATCATGTGTTTGTTTACAGGCTTCAGAATTCCAACCGCCTGGAGAACTCCCTTCAAAACGGGAAAACTTTATTGTCCAGCTATGAGAACAAGCTGGCCAGGGAGGAAGTCGCCCCAGCAGACATCTCGTCTCTGGAGATGACACAGCGCCAACTGGCTGTAAGATGGCTGTCCTTCTATCTCTTGTTTATTCTAATCAGGATTCATATTTAGATCCTCTCCACAAAGGAAATGTATTGTATTTTTACAGTTCAGATACAAAGACCGAAGCAAATTTGCTAATGACATAGAGTAAAAATGCATGATGAACTGGAAGATCTGAGCTACATACCATATCTCAAGTTTATCCTAGTTGGGGCAGAATTTCTCCATACACACAATTCAACCTCACTTCCTCTCCTGACAGGATATTGCATCAGAGCTGAAGACCAAGAGGTCCGCGGTGACGGAGACGGAGGCTAACCTGCGTGCGGCCAAAGGCAGCTGTGACACCATGGCAACCAAGCTGCAGGAGCACTGCCCTGACATCGAGAGGCAGGAGGGCGAGGTTCAGAAGCTGAACAAACGCTACGACAACCTCAACAGGCAGATCGACACCAGGTAAAGGGACTGACATAACTTTCAAATCAATTCAAATCTAATTCTATTAGTTGCGTACACATATTTAGCAGATGTTATCGTGGGTGTAGTGAAATGCTTGTGTTCCTAGCGCCAACAGTACACTAATAACAATGCAAATCAAAAAAATACAAATGAAAGGAATATAGAAATATTAGAATGAGCAATGTCAGACTCCGGAATATAAATATATATGTATATGATGGTGTGTATAGACATTATGGACAGTATATGGATAGAAAAGGCGTGTACAGCAGTAGGCCTTGACTAGAATACAGTAAATAGATATGAAGTGTGTAAAACAGTATGTAAACATTATTAAAGTGACGAGTCTTCAATGATTATGTACCATACATAGGGCAGCAGTCTCTAAGGTGCTGTTGAACACTGTGGCTGCGTTCCGATTTTCTACCCTTCTCTAGAACTCAAAATCATTGGATTGGTGCAAGTATGACTGGAGGGAGTTTCCATTTCCAACATATTTCTTACACCAGTCAATTTAATTTTAAATCCATAAGGGGAAGTGTACAAGTGCACACTTCGGGAGAAGGGTAGAGAATCGGAATGTGACCTTTGACTCTTTTAAGAGCACAGCTCATCCACACATTATATTTGTGAGGTGAGAGGACTGATTCATCGCCCTTTACTACTGGTAAAAAAAGAAGGTTGAAGCCAAGAACAAGACTCATCATAGCCGGTCCTGTATTGTGGTTTTACTATAATAGACGTCACTTGACATTGTGTTGTGGAATGTTATATTCACGTTGTGGTATGTTACATTCACGTTGTGTTGTGGGTATGTTACAGAACTCAGAGCCTGCAGAGGGCTAAGATGTCGTACAACAACTACCGCAGTGATTACGACAACCTGAACAGCTGGCTGTCCCGCGTGCCAAACTATGAGCCAACTGAGAAGGACAACCTCAGTCAGGTGGAAACCAAGCTGGTAAACCAGAAGGTAAGTGGTTGAGGATGGAATAGGGTGAAGTTACCCCTAGACGCTGATTTCTGATTTTCCCACTAATGGTTAATGTTAGGATTGGGGAGGGGAAGGTGATTTTAGATCTGTACCTAGGGGAAACGTCACCCCGGCGCGGTTGAGGATAGTCAGGTGTTCCGAATTTTGCAACCCTGTCCTGGACTAAAAACATTTTCAGCTGAGAGGTTCCAGTCAGTTTTCTAGTTGTAATGTAAATAGTACTCTTTTGATCCAAAGAATTAGACTCTAGTCCTCTACCTCTAATGGTCCTGTTATGTTTCTCGGTCTAAAATGTTGATTGCCGTGTTGTTGTTTTCACAGAACCTGCTCTCCGACATTAAAAAGAAGGAGTCTGACTTGAACAACGTATCAAAAAATGCCCAACTTTACCAGCAAGCCGTCAAGGTAGGGGAATGAACACTGATAGACACATCCATTCTGATTAACTACTGCGAGGAGAAATGTTTACAATTTGAAGTAACTATTTCTCTCATCTCTCTCTCTTTCTTCCTCTCAATTATAATTGATTTTACTAATTTGTCTGTGTTTGCAGGAATATGAGAATGATACTGAAATGTTCAAGTCTATTCTGGACCTTGAAGACGGGCTGGTCCCTCAGACCTACAAGAGAAGCAGACTGGAGTCCCCTGCACTCAGGGTCAAGGAAGAGGTAAGGAAGACTGCGGCCCAAATGGCACCCGTTTCACTATTTAGTGCACTACTTTTTGGACTCTGGTCATAAGGCCCTGGTCAAAAGTAGTGCACTAGATAGGGAATAGGGTGCATGGGTCCTGGTCAAAAGTAGTGCACTAGATATGGAATAGGGTGCCATTTGAGAGACAGCCCTTGACTATAACCTTAATGCATATTACATGTTGTAATGTGATCCAATTTGTAAGTCGCTCTGGATAAGAGTGTCTGCTAAATGATGTAAATGTAAATGTATACATTTTGATACATTTTCAGGAAGACTTTTGAACGATATCTTCCAATTAACATTCTGGAAATGCCCCTGGTTTCATGCATTTCATAATTTCCTTGTTTACAGGAATCTGCCATTGAAGCGAAATTCACCGAAGTGAATGCAGTTAACAAGCAAAGGCTGGCGAATCTGCAGTTTGCCCAAGGCCTTATGAATCAGGTGCTCCTGAATGTTCAACAATCAATGTTGCACATCTTTATAAAGATCGAAAATTAATTGAAATGTCACATAATTCTAAATAAACATCATAGCCATTACTTCTAAAAAATAACCCCAGCCTCTTCTCCCTCTCTCAGCAATCAGACGTGATCGTCTGCAACAATGTCCAGCAAGTCAAATCTGCCGCTCCCGGAGAAGAAGCCTGGAGGATCGAGAGTCAACTGAAAGGACGAGATCCAGAGGAGGGAGCAGCTGGAGAAGGATCTAGAGAAAATCCAGACAGACATCTACATGTTGGAGGGCCAGAAGCCGGAGGACACCGTCGTCAAGAAGGAGATCATCAAGAAGGTTCCGGATCCTACTCTGGTCGACGAGGTCCACAATGTCCGTCAGAAGCTGTCGGACGAAACCCGGGCCACCCGGGCCATGGACAACGAGCTGGAGGCACTGAGGCTGAAGCTGCGCGGCATCGAAACAGAGATCAAAGAAGGAGCACAGCAGTACACCGTGAAGGAGGTGCTGCGTATCGAGAGGGACCGCGGCCAGGAGGAAGAGGTGAGGAGGCTCAGGGAGGAGCTGGAGGAGCTGAGGAGGAAGAAGACCATCAAGGACAATGAGGTGGTCCAGATCACGAAGCAGGTGACGCTCCTGGCGCAGCAGAAGTCCAAGGAGCAGGAGGTGATCACAGAGGAGGAGGTGATTAAAGTGCAGAACGACCCGCAGCTGGAGAGCGAGTACCGCATCCTCCTGGACAGGAAGCAGAAGGAGCAGGAGAACAGGAAGCAACTGGAGGACGAGCTGCGCTTCCTCCAGGACAAGCTCCGCAGGCTGGAGAAGGAGAAGTCCATGGCCGAGGAGAAGATCTCCATCAAGGAGGTGCTGAAGGTGGAGAAGGATATCGCCTTCGAGAGGGAGGTAGAGAACCTCAGGAGGCAGCACGAGGATGAGAAGGCCAAGCACCGGTCTTCCCAAAGGGAGCGCGCCGACCTCCAGAGGAAGATCTCCAGCCTGGAGGAGGAAAAGTCAAGGGTCATAGTTCAGGAGAAGGTGAGGGAGATCGTCAGGCCCGACCCCAAGGCTGAGGCTGAAGTGGCCAACCTGCGCATGGAACTGGTAGAGCACCAGAGGAGGTACAGAGACGCCGACCAGCAGCTGAAGTCCCACCAGGACGAGCTGAAGATGCTGAGAAACAGAGGTCCACAGATCGAGGTCAAGGAGATCATCAAGGAAGTCATCAAGTACAAGACGGACCCGCAGACCGAGAGGGAGCTGGAGAAGCTCCGCAACGAGATTGTGGACAAGACGCACCAGACGGAGAAGTCAGAGATGGAGATCAGGCAGCTGAGGGACGAGATTCAGCGGTGGAAGGACACCAAGCCCCAGGTGCAAATTAAAGAGGTGGTTAACGAGGTGCTGGAGTACAAAGAAAACCCCAAGACCAAGGAGGAGATTGAAATACTGAAGAGGAAGCTGGCGGACGAGCAGAAGAAACGCCTGGACCTGGAGAGGGAGCGATCAGCTAATGAGGAGAAGATCCGGCTAAGGAAGATCGACCTGTCCCAGGTCAGGGAGAAGTTGGTCCAGCAGGAGGTGGTTAAGATGGAGGAGGACCCATTACTGAGGTCAGAGTGCAACACCTTCACGCAGAACATCAACAATGAACAGAGGCAGAGGGAGACCCTGAAAGTGGAGCTTTACCAACTTCAGAGGCAGAAGGCCGACCTGGACGCACAGCTGGAGGAGCTGGAGCGAGAACGTCGGGCTAGGCGCGATGCAGAGCTGGAGATCCAGAGGCTGAGGGTCAGGCTGAATGAGATGGAGGTCATGGACAAGGAGAACAGGGAGAGGGTCACAGTGAAACAGATGGTGGTTCTCCAGCAGGACCCCCAGCAAGAGAAAGAGCACTCCATCCTCAAGCTGCAGGTGGAGGAGGAGAGACACAAGCGTACCCTGCTGGAGAAGGAGCTGAATGTCCTGCTCCAGCAGCAGGTCACCCTGGAGAGGATTGAGGTGAAGGAGAAGGTGGTGCGCACCGAGACCATCCAGGTGGAGAAGGACCCTGAGGCCGAGATGGAGATCGAGAAGATGACGAGGACGCTGGACCAGGAGAAGAGGAGGAGGCTGGAGCTGGACCAGGAGCTGGGCAGCCTCAAGTCCCGCCTGTCCGACATGGAGTTTACCAACACCAAGTCGTCCAAGGAGCTGGACTACATCCGCGACGAGAGCAGCCGCCTCCAGCAGGAGAACCAGAGGCTACAGAACGACATCCGCAGGCTGCAGTCCGAGATCCAGATCACCTCCACGGAGACCCGGAGCATCTCCAACTCGGCCCCCATGGAGAACGGGAAGAACCTGGAGCTGAGGCTGGACTCGCTGCAGGGGGAGCTGGCCGAACTGAGGGCCATCACCAGGCAGAAGGATGAGGAGATCGAGAAGCTGCAGAAGGGCCTGGCGGCGATCCAGATCAAGAGGGAGCAGAGGGAGAGTCACCTGAGGAGATCCATCGTGGTCATCGACCCCGACTCGGGCAAGGAGATGCGGCCGGAGGAGGCCTACAAGCTGGGACTGATTGACTGGAAGATGTTTGTGAACCTCCAGAGCCAGGAGTGCGACTGGGAGGAGATCAGCATCAAGGGCCCCAAGGGGGAGTCCTCTGTTCTCCACGACAGGAAGTCTGGGAAAAAGTTCTCCATTGAAGACGCCCTGAAGGCTGGGAATATCACCACCCACCAGCTGCAGCAGTACCATAACAAAGAGATCACCATACAGGAGTTCGGGGTCATGGTGTCGGGAAAGACCAAGTGAAAGAGAAACATCTGAAGAAAACTACTTTTTTAACTGTCTATTTTTCTATCCGACTACCATGAGATTGAAAATGTGTGCCATTACTTGGTTCACTACATTTAATTCTTCCAAAATATTTTAATTCCAACGTTCTTAATCTAACATTAAACAATATGTTAGTTTATATCTCTCTCTCTAAACTCTACATTGCACTGTTATTATATTTATTTTCAAACTCATAATGCACTATAAATGCACAAACTGGTGTTCTGGTTTTAAATGAGGGTTAATGTGGTGGCTGTATTTGTAGCCAACATACATTTAAATGGTTGTAGAAGGGTTTTCTGTCTGTCCCTGGAGTAAACTTGTTAAACTGCTTACACTGGGTACATGGTTAGAGGTAATACTTTAAATATCTTTTATTTTGTTTTTGATGTGGAATTGAATTACATACACAAGGATATGAATGGATATTGTTAATGTCGGTCTGTGGTGTGCTACTGTAAAACTGTCTCTCAGTTGTCCTGTTTTACATGTCTTACATAAGAAATAAAACAGTAAAATGTTGAAGGGTAAACTTGTTGTGTGTTTCTTTAAAAAGTAGGCCTTTGGTATAAATTACAGTTTTAAACACCAATATAGATTTACAAAGATATATATTGCTTGTAGATAAGCAAGATAAATCATCCTTTAGGCCTATGTTCCACAGACGAAGCTCTTATCTATTGGAAGAAATAACTGTACAGCTTTTCTGAAAAACCACCAGATTCCTGCTGAGCTCAAGGACAGATCTGATCAACGAAGCAATCAGTTAGACAAATCGCTGAAGATAGAAGGTGTGTTTGTAATGGTGAACGAACAGTCCTCCCACCAACCAAACCAGCCAAAACCATCCACGGCTTTCTCCCATAGCCTTCAGTAGGCTACATGAAGGTCATCATTACCCATATAAAACAAATACTATATTATACTACCGTCTAAATACTGTAGTGTTACTATATTTATATACTATAGTATTCACTGTAGTGTTTTTGTAGACATGCCTGTAGTATTTACTGTAGTGTTTTTGAGGACATAACTAAGTTTTTGCGGTGCAGACTAGTGCTGAAATGGCACAACTACCAGATTACACCAGTTACTGTTTAATGAGGGGACCACCTCAATCAGAACATAAGACACCACCAGTTACTGTTTAATGAGGGGAATACCTCAACCAAAACATAAGACCCAGGTTGGTGACATGCCACCTATTGAGTTGTATCAACAGTTCGGAGCAATGCAATGGCCCAGACAACACCTTAGCAAAAATATACCCATTTTATTACAACTGTCACATCTAAACATTAGACTGGTTCTAGGTCCATGTAAGAGAAACAGTACAGGATCAGATATGAAGAACAAGCTAGGTTTATTAAAGCTTAGAGGATTAGGTTTGCTTGTTTGACACAGATAATACACGTTAGCAAGAGTACTCCAAAATCACATCTTAGATCTGTTACTTCCACTAGCTTCCTGAAATACAACACAGAGATTCAGCTGACCAAGTTCACAGGATGACCAAAAAGAGTGGGAGACCATACTGTTCAGATGGTAGAAAAGAAAGAACAGATTACGTACACAATAGATATTTCAGAAATACAATTCACTTTACTTAAAGGAGGGCTACTGTACCTCAAACCAGCAAAGCCTCTCCAGACAAACCAACTGAAAACCAAAAAAAGGACATTATTGCAGAGGATGAATGGACATCTTGAATATTGTCACACATGAATAAACTCATAATGGTCAAACTCAGCACACACCATTCAGATCAATCGACCCGTGGTAAGTACTATTAGTATTATATTGTAAACTGTAGTATTTATTTTTTTAAATTATGTGGGTGTACAAGCCATTCACCCTGGATATATGTCCCAAATGGCACCCTATTCCCTACATAGTGCACTACTTTTAACCAGAGTCCATAGGGGGTTGGTCTAAAGTAGTGCACTATGTAGGGAATAGGGTGCCATTTGGGATAACACCTCTGACACAGTGGACTAGACAGACTGTCCCGATGGGGCTTATGATAGGAAATACACAAAAATATAATTAGAACAATTAATCCTGGGATTTTGATGAAATGACCAAAATCCGGTCTAGACAGACAATGTAATCTTGTGTTATGTAAGAAAAACTATTCACCAATCCATGCAAAATGGGTGTATCTCAAAATGGCAACCTATCCCTTATATAATGCATTACTTTTGACCAGATCCTTATGGCCCCTTGTCTAAAGTATACACTATATGGATAAGGGTGCCATTTGGGACGCAAACCCAGACCTAAGAGATGTCTTATCCAGATCCCTCCCGCCTTTTCTAAATGAATAGAAATACCTTACGGCATCTGACTGAAATTTAGTGTCTGTGTTTATTGCAGTATCAGAATGATGTTGTGAGGAAATGATTTCGCCACTAGGAGGATTTCTATTTTCAAGTCTGCTTTTATGAATAAAACCTTGATTGAAATGTTCCACTTGTTCCATGGTCAGATGTCATTCAGGGAAGACAAAGGACTTTAGTAGGTGTCTGATTGATAAAACACTCATTAGGATAATGATGTAATATGCATTGTTTTGGTTTAACTAGATTAGTAAGAAGTAGGCTAATTGTAACACAGGTGATTTACAGTCAAATATGAATAACTGTAGCTGACTTTATAGCACTGTATTGTAGGCCCTATTGTGAGGTGAGGGTTTCCAATAAAGAGCTAAACTCACCTTTTTGTAGTCCCTATTGTGAGCGATCAGACTAATAAAAACACTGTTTCTTCAGTGGCACATCGGGGAAAGGTTAAATAGACACGCTATGAAAAGGTTAATTAGGGCGACATGTTACACACCAAACATAAAAACCTATCCTTTATAAAGACTTCTAGAAACAGATTTAGCATTACATAGGTCTACAGACAAAAGGGGTTGTCTGGGTCTGTGAATATTACCTTCATCTCATCCATTCATGTTGGGAATGTTATTTTATTTGTCACATGCGCCGAATACAACAGGTGTAGACTTTACTGTCAAATGCTTACTTACAAACCCTTTCCCAACAATGCAGAGTTAAAAAGTACCAAAAAATGGCAAAATAAATAAAGGAAATAGTAACACAATAAAATATCAGTAACGAGGCTATATACGAAGAGTACCGGTACCGAGTCAATGTGCAGGGGTACCAGGTAGTTGAGGTAATTGAGATAATATGTACATGTAGGTAGGGGTAAAAGTGACTAGGCAATCGGAATAGATAATAAACAGAGTAGCAGCAGCAGATGTGATGTGTGAAAGTGTGTCTATGCATTTGTGTGTGTGTGTGTTTGTGTTGGAGTCAGTGTAGTATGTGTGAGTGTGTGGGTAGAGTCCAGTGAGTGTGCATAGAGCCAGTGCGCTGAGAATCTGTGCAAAAAAAAGGGAGTCAATGCAAATTCTCCAGGTAGCCATTTGATTAACTGTTCAGCAGTCTTATTGCTTGGGGGTAGAAGCTGTTCAGGAGCCTTTTGGTCCCAGACTTGGTGCTCCAGTACCGCTTGCCGTGCGGTCGCAGAGAGAACAGTCTATGACTTGGATAGTTGGAGTCTGACCATTTTAAGGGCCTTCCTCTGACACCGCCTGGTATAGAGGTCCTGGATGGCAGGGAGCTCGGCCCCAGTGATATACTGGGCCGTATGCACTACTCGCTGTAGCTCCTTGCGGTCAGATGCCAGGCAGTTGCCATACCAGGCGGTGATGCAGCCAGTCAAGATGCTCTCAATGGTGCAGCTGTAGAACTTATTGAGGATCTGAGGCCCCATGCCAAATATTTTCAGCCTCCTGAGGGGGAAGAGGCGTTGTTGTGCCCTCTTCACGACCACCGTCGTGTCGTCAGAAAACGTAATGATGGTGTTGGAGTCGCATAAAAAAGAATAATGTATGCACTAACTGTAAGTTGCTCTGGATAAGAGCGTCTGCTAAATGACGTAAATGTAAATGTAAATGTATGCAGCCACGCAGTCATGGGTGAACAGGGAGTAAAGGAGGGGACTAAGCACACACCCATGTGGGGCCCCCTTGCTGAGGGTCAGCGTGGTGGATGTGTTGTTGCCTACCCTCACCACTTGGAGGGCGGCCCGTTAGTAAGTCCAGGATCCAGTTGCAGAGGGAGGTGTAATTTAGACAGGTTACCTTGGCGTTCTTGGGCACAGGGACTATGGTGGTCTGCTTGAAACATGAAGGTATTACAGACTGGGTCAGAGAGAGGTTGAAAAAGTCAGTGAATAAACTTGCCAGCTGGTCAGCACATGCTCTGAGTAAGCGTCCTGGTAATCCATCTGGCCCTGCGGCTGTGTGAATATTAACCTGTTTAATAATAATAATAAATAATATGCCATTTAGCAGACGCTTTTATCCAAAGCGACTTACAGTCATGCGTGCATACATTTTTTTGTGTATGGGTGGTCCTGAGGATCAAACCCACTACCTTGGCGTTACAAGCGCCGTGCTCTACCAGCTGAGCTACAGAGGACCACGTTTAAAGGTCTTACTCACATCGGCTACGGAGAGCGTGATCACACAGTCGTCTGGAACAGCTGGGGCTCTCATGCATGGTTCAGTGTCCTTGTTCAGCCGACTGAGAAACATAGAATATTACAGTTCTTCAGCTCATATTGATAGGATAATGTTGAACGGAGCTCGTCCAGTTTATTCTCCAATAATTGCATGTTCGCCAATAGAACAGAGGGTAGAGGCCATTTATCCACTCGCTGACGTAGTCTCGTCAGGTATCCTGCACGCCAGCCTCTATAACGCCGCTCCTTCCTTTTTCGAGTGTCGGGGATTTGGGCCTGGTACGGGAAGAGCAGTATGTCATTCGCCGCTGACTCATTGAAGTAGAAATCCAAATTGAAGTTAGTGATCGCTGTTTTGATGTCCAGAAGCTCTTTTAAGTCATAGAAAACGATGGCGGAAATATTACGTACAAAAAAAGTTAAGATCAGCACTAAAAAAC